GTCTGTCACCTGGAGTTATGATGGAAAGAGACCAACTATGGCCAATTTACCAACCGGGTCCAACATGTCGGTACCAATTGCGGAACCGGGCATCCATGGAAACCTCCCTTTAACAAGGCCTCATACAAAATAAACCGTTCGAATAGTAGTAATTTAATTAAAATATCGCAAACATTAAATCAATGGTTATGGGGAACCAGTCCAAGACCATCTATAGTCCCTACTGTTTAACGGGGGCAGTGATGTTTCGTTACTTTTTGAAATCCCTCTAGAGTAGTAGACAAACACATGAACCATGATCTTTAGAAAATTAACAACCTACCGGTATATGTAGTCAAGATCTTCATTACGACATCCAAAGAATAAGTACCGTTCGCAAGCGACACTCAAATCGGTCGAGTTCCTGCAACGTCAGCAGCGCTTAAAAAACCAAACAAATAAAAACCTGAAAAAGGACTTACTCGATATGTTCCAAAAAACCAACGAACGGAGCAACCCCGGTGCCGGGGCCAACCATGATCATCGGCATGCTGTCTAAACCACTGGATGGCAACCGAAAGTCAGTTGGACGTTTCAGAAACACAGGAACCTGAAACAAACCATGTCCGGTAATGTGAACGGAAAGTGCTGAGAGCAGATACCTTTGAATACAACGGACACTCTTTCAAGAAGCCGGTGGCAATACCGTAACGTTCATAGAACCTTCCGTCACTACAAGGAATGTAGACGAGACTGAAAACAAATTCCGCCTTATCTGCATGCTTCAGGGGAGAGCTAGAAAGTTTTCAAGTAAAGCTGATCAGTCGACGTTCTTTAACTTCTGTAGAAACCAACACCTACTTTGCAAAGCTAAACGGACGCGGCTTAAGGCGTGGAATGGTTTCTGAAAATAATTATATAAAATTAATATGTATGTATGTAAAACGCAGAAATAATAAACTACTATTTCTGTGCGGCCAAAAGAACAACTGCAAGTTAGTCGTAAAAATAAATTATCTGCCTAGACAACAATGTGGATAAC